AAAAAAAAAAAAAAAAAAAAGCCCGGCACTTATCAGCTGCTGCCAAGTGGGGGAAGTGGGGAGCCCGCTGCCCCCCACTGCCCCGTTCTGGATGGGGGGCTCTGCCAGGAGCCCCCATCCCCCCTCCCATTCTCCCAGCCCCATTGATAGCTGCCCATTGAACACTGGGGCCAGGCAGGGCAGCCATGGGGGGCAGGGCTGGGACAGCAGGCGTGGGTTGGGGGGTGCTCAGGGGGTCCCTTCCCTCCTCCTCCAGCCCCCACCCCTCGCTCCCTACTTACTGGCATGGAGTACAGGTCTAGCTCCCTGTGGTGGCAAGTGGGGACTGCCTAGATTTCGGAAGCTGTCAGAATCCTTTCCGAATCAATTTGGAGAGCTTCAAATCGATTTGGACCTTTTATTGGTCTCTCTATTCTATTTGGATTCAGAGATTTGGCCGCCGAATCAAGCTAAATCTCCTCCAAATTGAATTAGCACCTGAGGCTTTGCACAGCACTACTGTTGGCCTCTCTCCTCCTTTGCCCTCTTGTCTAAAGCAACAGCTTAAGTTAAGGAGTCTGTATGATCCAGTTAGGGATGGCCCTGCTTTGAGCACGGTGTTGGACTAGATGACCTCCTGCGGTCCCTTCCAACCCTAATTTTCTATGATATCTATGATTCTACTTGAAAAGGAGTGTGCATTAAAAGCCTATTAAAATGCCACTCTACAAACAGGGACAGAAGCAAGGAAGAACCAATAACACAGTAGATCTGAAAACTGGTTTGATATTAGCAGATATGCATGTAGAAATGACAGGTTTCTCCTTCTGGGGAAGGGGGAAGGCTTTTTCTGGCATTCATTGGAGGATACAGGAGAAAAAACAGGAATGAGAGGGAAGTTAATTCCCGAGGGAAGGAAAAAGCCAAGGTATTAATTGTAATTGTTCAGTTCTTCAGATTTACTGAGATATAATGTAGTTATCCTCAACCTCCCAGACAGAGGACATACAAATCAGATGTTTATATGAATGCCCATGGGATCTTTTTAATTGACGTCTATCGACCCTAGACCTATATGGGTGACTTTTGGTTCATTGCACATTACTCTATAGAATCTAGATAGGACTATAGAGGAGAAGAATGTGCAATGCCCCTCATACTAGGGAGTTTTATTGTCTTCCTGCATAAAATGCACACAAAAAAATATAAGGACTGTACGGTGAGTTCTTGACATTTTAAAGAACTTTCCCTAAGTGTATATTTTCCCAGAATATACTCAAGAAATAATCCCCAGGCAATTATTTTCTTCAATCGAGTAAAAACTCTTTCCTTTTGTTTTAAATAACATGTTTAGAGTCCTTGAATTCAGTTCTCGGTCACCTTTAAAAACTAGTTTCTAATCCCCTAACAACCTTAATCAAATCCTCAGCAGTTCAAATTGTTGTTAAATGTCTTATTTGGGATTAAAATATGTATACAACACATCAAATATTCATTGTGTAAGCATGATTAAAATGTATAATCCCTAAAAAGAGGTTTAAGATATTTTTTAAACTACACTGAACTTAATTAAATAGATTTAAGGGGATTGGAAACAGTATTTAAGAGATGGCCTCCAGCATAAACTTTAAGATGAAGAGAAGGTGGGGAATTAAACTAAAATTTGGGATGAATGTGATCTATCTGTTTTCCATCACTAACATTTTGACAACAGAGATGTTACTAAAGAGCCCCCTTTCTGGCCTGACCATTTCAGCTGAGATGTTAAAAAATAATAAAGGACAGGGATACTGAATTACCCTCTCATTTAGGCCCCAGGCAGCCACTCAGTTAAAGGTGCAAGAAGATCAGATTCCTGATCCCAACAATCACGTCTCTTGTCATACTACATGGATTTGGCAGGAGGCGTGATTGTGGGATCAGGGATCAGATCCTGATCGTGCTCTGTTGCCAGTGCAGAGGGAGCCCAGGATCATGATCTCAGGCTTCCCCTGCACTGGCAGGTAACAAGATGGTGTGCTCAGCTTGGATCACCAGTCAGCTGGTCAGGATCCCTAGCCTTAGGAGCACATATGAGTCAAAGGCTCTGGTGCACCCCTGAGGCTGGGAGCCCTGCCACTCCCAGCCTCAGGGGCAAACTGGAGTCATGGGCTCTGATACGCCCCCAAGCCTGGAAGTCCTGATCTCAGCCAATCAGCCTGGCTATGCATTCAATTTAAGGTGCAATGTTAATCATCCACAATGTTAATAAACAATGTTCTGTAATAACTTTGTGTCTTATTCCCTGTTTATTGTGCCATTAATTGCATGAATGTGTGATCAGTTTACTACTTAAGATGTGATCAACTGGTTAATCATGTCTTAAATGTGACGTCTGCTAGGGGCTATAGTTTCCTTCAGGTTGAGTCTGAAGCATTTTGGTGGGCCACTAAGTTGATCTAAACTAAACTACCATATTGCTGAAGAAGCTAATACTGCTTGGGCCAGAGGTGCAACTGTTCTGTAGCAGTTTCCAGCTGTACATTCATAAAATAGCCAGTGTGGATGTAGAGGTAAAATTGGCCCTGCAATGTCTGTTCTTTTCTTAGTGAGGGCACTAATTCTGTTAGCTGAAAAGCTGTTGTTCAAATGTATCCTAATTGGGAATCTTTTTATAACAGGTCACTTGTTCAATGTAAATTTTTTCCTCACTTACTACGTCAAAATTTGGAAGACTCATCAATAGATCCACTTCCAGAGAAGATGAGAGAATCAGTGGTAAGAGTTCTTCTCCTGCCCCACATTGTTCAGTTTATATACTGGAAGACTGCAGTCCATCCATATGGTGCCCCTTAGCAAAGTTCAGCATTTAATAGAAAACACAGAAAATGGCAAAATACATATTCTGTTTCTTTAGTAAGAGAGGGGGCTAAGGAAGCTTCTACATCTAATCTCTACAGGATGGAAGCTGGGGGAGAGCTGTTTTGTTTGCTTTTAAGGTTTCTTTCCAATGTTTCAAGACAAGCAGCTTTAATATACTATCATATGGTATGCACAGTTTCAGAGCATGGGGAACATGAAAGGGTCACCTAGCTTAGACTAGAAATCAGCTGACGAAGAATTATGTGCCCTGAAGAGATTTACAGCATGCTAACTCACTCTGCAGGAGTTTAGAAAGTCTATCTTACCTAACACTTCAACAAGGCACAACAGACTGAAATTGTGACACCACGGAAGCTGGCAGCAAAACTCCCATTTACTTCACTAGGAGAGAATTTCAGCCTTAGTCTTGTCTGGCATAGATAAAACACTGTGGTTCCTCCTCTGGATTTAGGGAGAGATGTAGATGATCTGCAGGAATGCCTCTCTGTATGTGGAGAAGGCAGCATTACTGGCATGTCAAACAGAAGGCATAACTTATTTGCAGTTTGGAATGAGAAGAAGCAAACAGAATCCTGACCAGATAAAAGGCTACAAGACAACCGCCTCCTCTTAGTCTGTTCTTCGCTTTTTTTCCAAGCAGGCCAAAATGCCGTACCGTCTACCTCTCTTCTCTGGTTATACCACTGCACCTCATCCTCAACTTCCCAAGTGACCCTTTTCTACTTTCCTTGTTATCGGGTACTCTGGACAGGGTCCTGACATCAGGAGTTCAAGCTAGCAGAGGACAGGGTTTCTAGAAAGGTTGATATGGGTTAATTCAATCCAAGGTTCTTGAACTGTCCTGCTTTCCAGTAACCAGGAGCCTTACAGCAGCATAGTGGCCACCTCCAAGCACTTGCATGTGTTAAACCACATACATGGGTTTAAATAGCTTGCTTTTAGAAACCATACGTGTGGATCTAGAAGTAGTGTGGTGGCACAGTCACACTCCCCTTTGGCTGTGCTGCACGTGAGCTCTCAGAGCTTTCATGTGGCTCTGGAGCTGGGGTTGAGTGCTGCTGTTGCCACTTGTCCCTTCCTTACCTATATTGAGGGAAAGGAGGAGAAGGGCAAACAGCAGCATTTTTCAATCCCTGGTTTCCAGAGCTCTGGGAAAACAGGGGCTCCAGTCAGACCTTGCCCTGAGCTCAGAGCTTACTGTGCATGCACAGCACAGCCAAAGTGTGGGGCCTCACCCCCTTGCCCTATTCCTGGATCTGCTACTGAAACCTTAGCCATCTAATTAGGATCAAATTGTTTTGGATGTGTTTGGCTACCAATTAAGGTTTCTTCAAATATATTAAGTGTTTGTTATAAAACTACCAGGGCCAGGGCCCACAGCTGAGATGGATGAGATGCTGGTTGGAGCCTGTGGACCAGGTATAGCACTGTGAGCCTAAGCCAGAGCCCCAGTAAGCAGACAGGGGTGGAGGCCAGGAAGGCTGGTGCCCCAACAAGGGCACAGAGGACTGAAAAGGAACAATATCAGATGGGTTGAGGGCCCACTGAAATAATTGGTGAGGGCTGAGAGCCTGGGCATGGCTGTAGGGGCTGTCGAAAGCCGCGAACAGCCCTTAAGGCAGTTGGTAACTAGAGTTAGAGCAAGAGGGACTGGATCAGTGGTCCCGTGGGGCCTTTGAGCCGCCTCCCAACCTTTTTATTTCTAAATAGGTAAAGGAGTGGGTAGGACCCAAGACCCAGAGAAAGGAGGGAACACAGGCCACCTGGGGGCATCATAACCAACTCAAGAGCCTAATCCTGCTACACTTCCCCCTCCCCTCAATTTAGTCCTGACTGTATGCCAAAATGAAATACTGTAGCTAGGAAAAATGCTGTGTTGTAATGTGGTTTTCTAGTTTGGTTGTACTGTTAAGATAGATAGGACCTCTTTGTCTTGGTCCCCCTTTGTGGTTGAATATGTTTTCTGTTGCCTTTCCCTAACAAGAAACTGATTTCACACAGTGCTGCTCAGCTGTACATATCTGCAGTATGTCTGACATGTAATCTGGTCTTTCTGAAAAAGAGGCTATTTTCACTGTCTGCTGCAAGGGCCTGCCAAAACCGTGCCTTCCTTTTTTCCTCTGTTTGGGTTGTGTCCCTTTTATATACAAAATTTAAGTGAAAAGTCTCCAGCGTAAATTGGTGTGCACAGTGTTCACTCTCTCGTGCTGGGACACAGATAATATTCTCTGAAGAGGAGATAGCAATTGTCATGTAGTGCAGAGGCTGTTTGTCTGAAGCCCCTAAGTGCCTGGCATCTCTGTCTCCATTCAATAGTTTAACCAGTCTGTGAGTAGATTTTCACAATTGTTTAATAGGGTAAGGACTACAAGCAACTACAAATATATGTGAATTAGGCTTGAGGGACAGAGTCAAAGGGCAATCTATCTTGATCTCATTCAATTGTAGTTGAATAGCTATCATATCCATCTCTGGTCTTGACCACTTTTCAAAAGCAGACTAAAAATAGCTTTTGAAACCACTGCAAGAAAAACTTTGATCAGTCTTTGAACTGGGTATAATGGTATACAAGAATGAAAGAGAAGCTTTACATGGCACATCTGTCTCCTCTTTGTTTTTCTTAGTATGCCCATGTGTAATGGCCCCAAACAATTTTTTTAAGCCTCACCCACTATTTGTTGTATACCATGACAGGGAGCACACAATGTCCATTGCCCCTTTGATCTTTTCACCCATGTATAAGACATGCATCATATTCAATCTAAATGGGAGTCTTTTGACATGATTTTGAGAGGCAAATAACTGTTTCACCTCTCAAGGTGAAAGCAAGCATTTAATATTAAAATGAATTTGTTGTGCTATATGATGGTTCCATATGATGGTTCCATATTAATGTTAATAATAATAAATATACCATATCTAATGCTTAGCCACATGACCTTTACTGTTTTTTCTTTGCTTGAACGGCTGTGTAAGAATCGTCAGCTTTGGAAACTGGAATAACAAAGCAGCTGTGGTGGATAATTGACCATTCAACTTTGAGAATGGAGCTTCCTAGCATTATAATTAATTTCTATAGGCATCCCTATGGTTGATTACTACATTAACCAGTGGCCTCAGGGTGTTAATGTATTACATTCAAACCCAGCTTCCTCCCTTGCCTCTAGTGCAGAGAGTTAGATAGTTAATAAAAGGATTTATGCAGTGCTCAAAATGTATAATTAAAGACAAAAAGATAAAATAACAGTCTACAGTGTGTTTTACTGTTTAATCTCTCAAGCAGGAGACATCCAAAATAGCCTTTAAAAACCATTTGTAAAATGAAGTGAGGAGGAAGTTGCCTTTTTGTCTGAATGGTCTGTTCTTATCAAAATTATAACACAATCCCAATGGTCAGGGTTATTTAGTTACTGAGTTTTTATTGTGATTGAAAGTCAACCTCATGCTCATAGGGCTAAATGCAATAAAGGGCTTGAGGTACTGAGATATGAACAATTTACCAAAAGCTAGATGTAGGAGCTGAGGCTTTGCCAGCTCTCTGTTGCTCTGTGTTAACTGCCTGTATGCACACTCCTGTCCCACAGTAAGTGGAAGCTAACCTGTCATAGCTTAACTCTTAGTGTAAGAAGGGTCAGTTGCTCCACAGCGGCACAGCTTCAATAGTATGAATGGGCAGTGACCACTCCCCATGGAGGTTAGGGATCCTGGAAGATGTAAGGTGTGGATTTGAGTATGTTGCGGAGGGCTTTGAACTTTCTGGTTGAGTATTCCAATCAATAGACCATTGTTAAACAGTGGAGCAACATCAGCTGCTTCTCTGGTTGTGTTTTCAAAGAAAGACAGAAACTGGTGAGAAAAGTCTGAAATTATGACCTGAGTGGATGCTTACTATTAAGACAAATCCATGATTTCTTGAGACCTTATTCTTGATTTTGAACCATGGGGTTGGTTGTATGGTTTCAGCCAGTTATTTAGAACCAAGGGGCATATATAGACATGGTCTGTGAGGTATGGGGATGGTACCTTAATTAGTGCAGCTCAAGAGCTGTGCTAATTAAAAGTGCCCAGTCATTATGTCTATCAGTGTCCCCACGCTGAAAAATGGCAGTGGGGCACTTTGAACTAATGAGCTTTAGTTTAAAGCGCCCCACCACCATTTTTCAGTGACACTGGAGTCTCCTGGAGCGGCGTAATTACCACACTCCAGCAGACTCGATTAATCAAGTCTGCTGCCACAGGCTGTAATTATAGCACGTTGGAGCAGCCTCCCTGCACATGGATAGGAGCCAATGGTGTTTAGTTACTTTCTGGCAGGGTATCAACATGGTTCTTGAGCAATACAGCAATGGGAAAGGAAAGGACAATTTTGAAGACTTGGCTTGAACAGAGTGGAGTGCTAGGGGACAAAGAAAAGGCACTAGATAAGATGAGGAGTTCTGACTCAACAGTCAGTATGTATGGTGTGGAGTAATGTGGTCCCCAGGTTAGGGCATAAAGGTAGGTCTTTTGTAATGTGGGATAACTTTTACAGAGCTTTTGCTAATTACCAGATAGGGCCAGATAAGTATTTTCCCCCATGTGAATGTTCCTGGCTTCTGGTGGGTTTGGTTTTTTTCATCTTCCTCTGAGGCATTAGGATTAACCACAGCTAAGGCTGAGGATTTTTGGCTTGGAAATACTGATGTTCCTGCAGAAGACCTATGGTTTTCTGGTTAGACAGCCTTGCTCTTCTGCACAGGGTCATATACCAGTCACCTAACTGGGGTCAGGAAGACATTTTTCCCATAGGGGAGAATGGCATAGATTGTGAGGAATTTTGCCTTCCTCTGTAGCCTGGAGCATAATCCTTTTCTTAGGATCTTCTGAACACATATTAATACATTATTTCTATACTATTGCAGTGGCAGAGCACTGACAATACCTTTCTCTCCCTTACTGTAAGCTGTGGCATGTTATAGGTTGTTTTTAGGGGTATTATTGTGTTTGGGGTATTATGCCTTGTAGTTGTATGTGGGGATTTTGGGGGATTCCTTAGGTAAATGATTGCCTGCGACCACAAGGGACTGGACTAGATACCCCAGGAGACCCTTTCCTGATCTGAGACAGAAGTTCAACAAACTCCTTTAGCCTAAATCAGTGAAGTCTGATTACTACATCTATACAGGTTTATCCTAAACCAGTTTTGGCCATTTGGAAAACAGTGTATATACATTGAACTTCTGTTGTGTTATGAATTTGAACTGGTTTCTGATCACTTATACCAGCTTATGCGTAATTTCTGTCCCTAGCCCTTGAATCTCAGGGCTTTACTCTGTTCAAATGCCAAAAGTGGCTGCAAAAAGTGGTGTTGTTAATACATTTTAGAAAAAGGTCACAAGCCTTTTGGATACCAGAAAGTGCTAGGCAGCCTAAAAAAAAGTGGTCTGTAGTAGCTTCCCCTCTAATTTTCTAGTTCAGTAGTTTCTTCTCTGGAATATTTTCTCCCCATTTTTGGGGCTTTTATTCCATTTCTGTTCTATATTTTCTCCAGCCTCCCTGCATAAGCACATGTAGGTTAGGTTCGCTGTGTAGCTGGAGAACACTGTAACCATTTTAAAATTAATGATGATACAACCAACATTTCGAGTCAGATGTTGGTATGTCCCAGTCAGCATTTAAGTATTTAAGAAGTAAATATTTAAATAAAGAACTAGCTGTATCCTGGCATGGACTGGCATTAAGAACCTCTTCTTATCATAAATAGGAAGTATTAACCATCTATAGTATGTGTGCTCATACATCTTAGCCAAGTTTTTCACTTACTCACCGGAGACATTTGTGGCACCTCTAAAATACATGTGAAAAATTTTAACACAGCCAAAAAAACCTTGTAAATATGTTTACTGACAATGACATTTTAATCAGATGGGATATGAAGGATATGATATATTCTATATCAACAAAACAAAATTAGCTTTATAGATAGTCACCTAAGAGCACAGTTAATGTTTTCATTATCCATGCACAATGTTAGAGTTATGCCCTCATCTGAAAAACCCAGATCTTGGAAAAGTTTGGACTGATATTCAGCTGGAATCAGTTTAGATCCATCTCTCTATCATGTAATACATGTATCAGCCTTACATCTCGGAATACACTACAGAAATTCTCTCCCAAAGAAAAGCCACTTACATGATGTAAGAAAAAATAGTTTCATAGTTTCTAGGGTCGGAAGGGACCTGAACAGATCATCAAGACCGACCCCCTCATCAAGTCCGAACCCCATCAGCTGGGAGTCATTTCTATGCCTGCAAATAGGAAATGAATCCAGAATTTTAATAAATTGCTGCCATTTTAAAAAATAGAGAAACTCTTATTGCAAGTCCATTCTATAAACTGACACAAATTTAAAAATCTTTTTATTTTTAAGTTTTCCAGGGCTATTGCCAACAAAGTTTAAAAATATGTCTTTAAAATCAATTTTAATAAATGTGAATAGGATTGGCAGGGGTTTTTTCGACAAACCTAGAATCTGAAAGTATAATTTCACAAAGCATAGAACAGAATATATTTTTATATTAAACAATAACAAATGTCATTTCAGTGCATGCTGTCAGTAATTCAGAAAAGATTAATTTAATTTATCCAGTTAAGAGTATTAACTTGCTAATTTTATATTAAACATTTTTCTTCATAGAAGGAAATCTTGAAATCAGATCTCATTGTCTGCGCAGTAGCTGCTGTTCTGTCATTCGCAGTCAGTGCCAGCACAGTGTTCCTGTCATTAAGGGTATGTATTATAATCCCCTCTTTTAATTCTTTTTCTATGGTATTATCTCTTTTTTGCAAAACCATGCGGTGTCTTACTAGGAAAGAATAGGGAGGAGATAGGTTGAAGAAAATGTATTTACTGACAAAGATAATTTCAAGGCTTTTGATGCATGGTGCAGTTCAGTTATAGATATTTATATTAGGCACATTATTACAGGTTTGGTCATTGTTTTCCCTAAACTTTTCCATTGTGTTCCTCTTTTTTGATATAGAAGCTGGGGTTAGAAAGGGACTTGAACAAAAAGAAACAACTTCGCTTTTTTCCAGTTTTAAAAGACCAAAGTTTGTTGCTTTCATTTCCTGCTCCACACCTGTGGAGCTAGGAGGTTTTTTTTCAAATTGGTATTTCTTGTCAGAAATATAAGAAAGATGAAATTGTTGTATATTTAAGGATGTTGTCTAAAACTATTGTTGATAAAACCTGATTCCATTTTTCCCCTCCCTTGGTTCAGCCGTTCCTCAACATAGTGCTATTTGCATTAGCGTGGACCGTGGGATTTGTAACACATTACATACTTCCTCAGCTCCGAAAACACCATCCTTGGCTGTGGATTTCGCATCCCATACTTAAAAACAAAGAATATCGGCAGCGGGAAGTGAGAGGTTTGTAATAAATATTCTCTCAGTGTTGAATGATGTCGCCTGCAGCTTGTTTTAAAAGTAAAAAAATTCTAGCAGCGTTTTAAAGGCAGTCAATTTTTTTCAAAGCTGTTTTTGATTTTTTACTGTTTTACTTAGAAATATCCAAAGTATCACATCTGGATTTTTATAGTTCTTTTGGATGGCCTTGCACAAGGGCCAGAGAACTAAAGTGTTGTCTGTCGATGGTAACACCATAGTAGGCAGATTTATGAGTAACATCTTTTCCAAAATTTCTTTTTCATTTTCAGATGTTGGTTTGAATTTTGTCCACAGTCTTTTATTAAAGCTATCCAGGTTTGGTGAAAACCAGTCAAGCCCAAAGTGTTTAATAGTCTATGTAAACAGTCTTTTCTATATTAACTATAGGCTAACAAAAGTGCTAACATAACTTTGTTCTTTGTGATGTTAATATTCCATAATTCTCTGGTGCCCCTGAGGACCTATCAGCAGAAAGAAGGCAGGCCAGGGAAAAAAAAACGATTCTTTCATTCTATTCTCATTGAAACCAGAGTTTTTGGTTGTAGCTGTGTTGGCCTAAGGACATAGGTAGGCAAGGTTCTTTGGGTAGATGTGATATCTTTTATTAGACTGACTGAGTAGTTGGAAAAATGTTCTTTATAAGCTTTCAGGCACAAATGCCTTTCTTCAGGCATAAGGAGTGAAGTTCGTAGGCTCGTCTATGAAAGATGTTTTGTAAGTTCCCTTTGAAGGTTAGAATTGAGGATTAGAATTGAGGATTGGAACTACAAAACACCTTTCACTTCACAAAATCTACTAAATACAAAAAATCATGGACTTAATATAGAAATTGGATTTATGACGCATTGAAACCTGCCTAATATCTGATTCACCAGGTACCTGCCTGACCTTACCATTTATACTTTTCTCCTCTGCTTCCCTCCCCTCCTTCTCTATCCTTTGTCTTCCTAATTTCCAGCTATTTACTTTTTCACAGACTGCCTCTTTTCTACCTTGGAGAACTCAATTACAGCAATCTCCCTTGCTTACCTTTGGCACTATTTTCCCCTGGTTTACCCCCTCACCTCCCTTCTCTACTCATTGTTTTCCTGATTTCCAGTTATTTACCTTCTCACTGACCTGTCACACTTAGCTTCTTTCATTCCTTGGAGATCTCAGATCAACAGAGACTCCTTATGCCTGAAGAAGGGTACTTGTGCTTGAAAGTTTGCAAAGAACATTTTTTCCGACTACTCAGTTGGTCTAATAAAAGATATCACATCTACCCAAAGAGCCTTGCCATTCTCACTGAAGTGAATTGATAAACTTCACTTGACTTCAGTGGGAGCAAGATAGGAATTAGAGAGCCACATTTTGATTCGTATTTAAAATGCTTCTAAAAATTCCAAACTCCTCTACCACATATCCAGTCCCAAATTCCCCTCTTTCCCTTGGTTACTTTTGTTGTTTATTTCCTTCCCTTTATTAAATAGTTGAAAATGAAGATTCCTACCTTTTTCTCTTACCCAGACTATCGTGGGCCCTGTGCAATTTACTGGTGTCATAAACAGGCTCTCTTTCATAGCTGCTGCTAAGTGAGCAGGTAGCCCCATCTCTCTTAAGTGTTACATTTCATATGTCCCTGACCTGAGCCCCCAAGTACTGGGTTTAGTGATTAGAGCATCAGGGCTTTTCCTTCAGGCTACTGGGAGCCAAGCTATTAGCCCATCTAGCCTTTAAACCTTACTGTGGTATAGATCTGAGATACTCTTTCCCCTCTGAAATTGGACATAAAACTTCATGAATGCTCTGACCTCTTAAGGCTTGGATTCAAATCTGAATTTACTTATTCACAAAAGGAATTATAGCACATATCCAAGTGGATACATACTGCTATTTATTAAGCATCCTTTTAACTCTCTTTTGTTAAATGTAAGTTGTTTTATGACTGGAGTAACTTTCAGTGTGTGGGAAAGGGCTGCTGTTTCCTTTGGAAGATAAAGGATCTTTAGAATATGAAGGAGGATGAAAGTTTAAATATATTTGCCTTTCACTACGCTGGCCCCTAACACGTTACATTTGTGGTACAGCTAAGATGCTAATTGCACCATAAATAGTAACCCTGCCGAAAGATAAAGCCAACTTATGGCATTATAGTATAGGAAATGAGCCAAAAAGATTACACATTATTCATAGAAGTTTAGGACTGGAAGGGACCTCAAGAGATCATCGGGTCCAGCCCCCTTGCTCTGGGCAGAAAGGACTGCTGGGGCCAAATAACCCCAGTAAGGTAATTACCATGCCCTAGCAGACTCAATTAATCAAGTCTGCTCCCACACGCTGTAATTACAGCGTGTGGGAGCAGACTTTAATAGTCTGCTGGAGCGTGGTAATTAATATGCTCCAGCAGCTTGCTGGAAGAGTCTGCTGGAGCATAGTGATTACTGTGCTCCAGGAAATTCCAGTGCCACGTGTATCAGTGTCCCCACACTGAAAAATGCTGGTGTGTTGCTTTAAACTGAAGCTCATTCAATGGTGGTAGGGCACTAAAAACTAAAGCTCATTAGTTCAAAGTGTCCTGCTGCCATTTTTCAGTGCAGGGACGTTGATACACGTGATGACTGGGCACTTTTAATTAGCACAGCTCTTGAGGTGCGCTAATTAAAGTGTCTCCCCCAATCCCCACCTTACAGACCACGTCTATAAATGCCCCTTGGTTCTAAATAACTGGCTCAAACCATACAGCTAACCCCATGGTTCAAAATCATGGTCTCCTTTTGAAGATCTCCAGGGTAGGTGCCTGCACCACCCCTGCTGGGAGTCTATTCCCAGAGTTTGGTCAGAAGAACCATGAAGAAGGTTTGGTTTTTTTTTTATACCCAGTATGAAACCTTCTTCTAGGAGTTGATGACCACTGCTCTTGGTTTTCTCCTGGGGCACTTTGGTGAATAGTTGTTCGCCTAGCCCCTTATGCTCACCTCTGATATATTTGTAAGCTACCACAAAGTTCCCCTGAAGTCTTCTCTTTTCTAGGCTGAACAATCCCATATCTGTCAGCCTTCCCTTGTATGGTTTGCTCTAATCATATGAGTGGCTTTTCTCTGCGTTCTCTCAAACTTTGCTACATCCTTCTTGAAGTGTGGCACCCAGAACTGGATGCAGTACTCACCAGTGCTGAGTAGAGCGGGAAAATAACTTCATTAGTTTTGCTTGAACTGCATTGGTTGATGCATACCAGTGTATTGTTTGCTCTGCTCATACTGGTGGATCATATTCATTTTATAGTCAATTATGACCCCTAGGTCCCTTTCAGACATCATGATAGCTAGCGTAGCACCATTGAGCCTGTAAGTTTGTTGTGGACCTTTCCTCCCCAGATGGAGCACTTTACACTTCTTAGTGTTGAACAACATCTGGTTCTGGTCCACCCATCTAACTAATCTGTCTAGGTCCTCCTGGATTGTTAGCCTACCCTGAGGTGTGGCTGCACTTCCCCATAGCTTAGTGTCATTGGCAAACTTTGCCAGTGTGCTTTTTGCCCCCCACATCCAGATCATTAATGAAGATGTTAAAAAGCACTGGTCCAAGTACTGAACCCTAGGGGACCCCACTGGCTACCTTCCACCAGGGCGACACAGATCCATTTACTAGTACTCTCTGGGTCCAACCCCGCAGCCAGTTTCCCACCCACCTGACCTTTAAATTGTTGGGCCCAGCCCCTTAGTTTTACCTTGAAAGCCTCACAGAACACCAAGTCAAAGGCCTTCCTATAAATGACGTTGACCTCATCTCTATAATTTAAGGTACAAAACAGATGAGCTACAAAAATATTATACATTATAGGTGAACCATCTTTGTGGCTCATCTGTTTCTTACTGCTGTTGAACTGATCAGCAGGATGGGGGCAGCCCCAGGTCCTGGATCCAGTACCTATGTTGGATCCCCAGAGGCAGATGTGGGGTCAGGGAGAGAAGACTGAGCCTGGTATTCAGAGAGCATCTCCCTGATCTTGGGGTCACTGTGCCCCAGATTTAAAAGCTCTAACTCTAGCAGTATGCCTGCTTCTTTAAGTTCCCTGACACTCATGGAAGTGGCAGCTGAGGAGCTGGGAGCTCCCCATATCCTAGCTGCAGGCAGTACTGTGACAGCTGAGAGTTATCTGTGTGATGAAGGTGCTTGCTGAATGCTCTGTGAGGATTAGACCAGGTGTTTCTTGTCATTTGTTCATGTGTTGTGAGCTGTATGTTGTTGCTAAGAGCTTAATTAAAGTAAAAGATTAGTGAGGCCTTGTGTGTAGTGAGGCCTTGTATGTAGTGATGCAGTTAAAATTAAGCTCATCAGAAAAATGCAAAGGCTTGTACTGCTATTGGTCAGTCATAAGGAAAGTTTGTAGTGTAAAAGTGTAAGTGGCTGTGAGCCAACAGCGTAGCTCAGAAGTTATAAATTGGCTAGCACATCCAGAAATCAGCAGAAGGAAGACACAGCATTGTGAGAGAAGCTACTAATTTAAAGATTAGCTGCTGACCTGGATTCAGTGAGCCTGTGGATCTCAAGGAGCCCAAGGACTGAATACCAGGGTCCTTCCCAGTACCCCTTGGACAGCGCAGTTTGAAGATGTCTGACTTTGCTAAGCTTTATAGAAGAGGAACTTGTCATACATCAGGCATCAGAGGGGACTGCCGATAAATTGCCAATGTGAATTGTTATTGTTTGTCATTGTTGTCTTGTTACACTACGCGTAGTTGTGTGTTTGTTAAGTCAATAAACCTTTCTTACCTTTTTACTCCTGACCACTCTCAATCCCAAACCCTCCCACTGGTGGCTGGAACAGGTGCTTTATGGTGTGGGGTACAGGCAGCTGGGGAGCAGAGAGCTCCTAGCTCCCTATCTGTCCATGTTGTGCACACTGGATCTCAGCACCCGGTGAGCTTTAAAGTTCATACCTGCAGCTGGGCTGCAGCTCCCTTTTTCAAACCTCTCCAGGCACTTGGACCCAGGCACTG